GGGAGCAGAGGTGAAAGGCAACGCAGAAAATCCAGCGCTGGCGGGCAGGCCTGCGGTGGCCACAGCACGCCACGGGGGCCTCAAAATCTGCAGGGCAAGGGCACCACGCAGGGCAGGCCACGCATGGTGCCGGTCACTGCTCCCCTCTTCCCAGAGCCTGGAGGGGGGCAGACAAGGCTGTTAGGTCAGGGGTCCGTGCCCAGGGGCAGCATGGCCCACCGCGGCCGGCAGACGCACAGGCCTGTGCCCGGACCTCGAGCCTGGCAGTGCCAGGTGACGGGACTGTGGAGTTTACCCTCTCGGAGCCACGCAGCGCCCGGGCCCTGCCTCTCCGCCCTGATTACAATTAACCCTGATTCTCCGCTGCTGCCAGGCCACGCAGAGCTGGGTCTCCTCGTTCACCTTTACCCCCTTCCCAGCACAGGGCTCCAGGAAAACTGCTCCAGTCGCAGACCGTGGCTGGACGCACGTGAGCTCGCTCAGGAAGTCCCTGGAGCCCCACGCGGGAGGGCCAAGGCTCCCCGGCCACGCTGGGCTGCAAGGCTCTGGGTGGAGGGGACCGGCTGACCGGAGGCAGTGCCGGGCAGAGGGCGCGTCCCCGGCTCCGTACGCCGCGCAGCGAGCTCTGGCCGTGCCAGGACGGCAGCCACGGAGCCAAACTCACCACCCGGCAGATCTGCAGCTCTGAGCCAGGTCCCGCCAGGGACACGCGACTTCGCTGCCCGCAGCCCGGACAGATGTGGGTCAGGGCTGGGGCTGCAGAGCCAGGGGAGCATCCCGAGGATGCGGGGCCTGGGCGGCTAAGGCGGCTCCCACTCCTCCCCGCACAGCCCTGGCAGGAGGGAGCGTGCACGCACCGGGGGAGCAAGGCAGGACCCCCGCCAGGACCTCAACTCACGGCGCCTCACCCCGCAGCTTGGGGACAGATGCCTGTCCCAACCAAGCACCCCCGAGCACTCCCTGCCAGCCCCATCGGGGCTCCCAACCCACCCCCCACGCAGGGGCGGGAGGAGAGCGCCAGCGCGACAACCCCTTGCCGGAAAGCAGCTGCTGTCCCAGGGCAGCAGCGGGCCCAGGAGATCTGCCCGGAAGAAGCATCCGACCCTGGAGGCCGCTCCAGCGGCCGGAGGGGACTGCTTTGAACCAGAGCAAGGGACAGGGCCAGGGGCGCAACCCGCCGGGGTCTGCAGCAGAGCCCATGCACCCCAGAGGCAAGGGCCACCCCGCAGCGGGGGGGAGCGCGGCGCTCAGCCCCCCCGCGGACGGAGCACACGCAATTTACAGCCACCCACCAGCTCCCCACGTCCAAACACGTTTCTTTTTTTAAAAAGAACCCGTTTTAAATCAAACCTGAAGCTATGACAACCCCGGGGCTCAGCCCGCTGCAGGCTTTAAATAGAAAACGCCTTCTGCGAGGTCTAAGTAAGCAGGAGCGTGCTGGTTTCTAATTAGACAGTCGGGGGGAAACGTTTTCTGGAGTCCAAATCTGGGTTTATAAATGTCCCGATACCACGTCCTGCACTCACCACTGTACTATTCCGGGTCTTCCCAACGGAGCAAATGCCACACTTCCCACGTTTCTGACCGCAAGCAGCTTTCAGTTTGGGGCACCAAAGAGCTTTTGCCTTAATTTCTTCTGAAATCAGTAAAGCAGAGGAAATATTTCCTGTGCACGGACGAGCCCACTGGGCGCTAGGAACGGGGGAGCTGGAGGAGGGACGACGCGGCAGGAGAGGACGGGTCTGCCTGTGCAGAGGCCCCGGCTAGTTTGGGGACTCAGATTCTCGATTTTGGGGGTGGGGGGAAGAGATTGGCACCAAACCTGCATGGACACTGCTGACCAGCCCGCCAGGCATCCGGCTGCGCTGGCTGGCGCCGGTGCCGACACCAGCCCTCAGTTCAGCGCCCTCCACTAATAACGCCACGAAAGAAAGCTCAAAGTGCGGCTCCCTTCGCTCACAGACGGTTTCTACCACTAACGAGCTCTCTCAAGGCGCTGCCGTGGTGCTCACGAGTTCATGCTGCGCCTGCCCAAATTGAGAAGCAATCAATTCAAAGCACAACGTGTTGCTCGCCACCAACGCGATCCGAGACGCCACGACGAAGAAGCCAACGGCACAGCGAGGCACTAAATGCCTGGAGGGCGCGGGGCCGGACAGAGCGCGTCCTCCCAGCTGGCAGGTGCCGTGTCACGGGAAGGCTGCCCTCGACAGAAACCAGCGCCTGGCAATCGCCGCGCCGAGCGCTGGGAGCCCACGCGCCCCGGCCAGACCCACAGGCGCAGGGACAACAGGACTAAAATGGAGGATTTCACTCTATCCGCGTCAGCCCCGAGGGACGGCGACCAGCTGCCCCCATGGACCATGCCGCCGGGCGCCCGGCTCAGGCCGCAGATTCCCAGCCCTGGAGGGACCGCAGCAGCAAGCTGGACTCCGACTGGCACTGCTCCCTGCAGCCAGCGCCGTTCGGGGCCCCTGGGAAAAGCCAGGGACAAGTGGCCAGGATGCTGCAGCTCTCGCACGTGCTGCTGCAGGAAGTACCATGGGCCAGTTAAAAGGACGGTCTTGCCTGTAGCGTCATGCTCCGTGCGCGGAGGCCAAGCCTGGGACACGGACATTTGGCCACGGCTGCCGCATCGGCATCCTCACACAGAGGCCGCGTGTGCAGACAGCATGATGCTTTCGCCAGCCCAGCACATGCCAGCCCTGCCCGGGCAAGCAGCAGCACTGGACCAGGCGCAATGAAGACCTGGCCTTGGACTGCAGCCTCTTTGGGACAGGATACATCTTCTCATCACATCCATAAAGCACCTAACGCCGCAGGGACCTGTGCAGACCCCGCGGGCTTCATGCCCAACAAACCCCGACACCGAGCAGGGCTGGCGCAGAAGGGAGCTCCGGGCACCATCTCCCACGAGCCATCTCTTGCAAGGGCTTCCTTTGCACGTCTCCCACCCCAGCACCAGCCAGGCCCAGCCCTGCTGAGCTCGGGAGGCAGCGAGACCCGGGTGCAAAGAGCCAAGCAGCGCCGTGCAAAGGACACAATTACAGGGAAGAACATGTCTGAGCAGCTCCCAGACATGCTGAAGGCAAGCGCTCCGGGACAGACAAGGGCAGGGGAGGAGCCAGGCAGCATGCGATGCAGGCATGCACAGGGACCCCGCAGGGCTGGAATTTGCCCCATTTACTGGTTCCTGCAGGGGTGTCGCGTGTGACAAATGCCCCCAGCCACCCCCAGCCCCAGGCAGCCGGAGCAACTCGCTCCCACATTCAGAGCATCTTCCTCACAGGCCGGGTTTCCTCCAAGACTCATCTCAGGCGCTTTGGGCACTGCCCCCATCGGCTTGATTCCAAGGCCAGGAAAGAAGGAGCCTTAACCGCTCT